ATTTATTTATTTATTTATTTATTTATTTATTTATTTATTTATTTTATACTAATTTTAGAAGTATATTTAATCAATTCTTTACTTGATTGTTTACATAAAATTGTAATACCCTATATTAATTATATTTTAGTTCTCAATTTCTAAAATTTATTTACATTCAATTTATACTTGATTAATTATCTCATTTTAATTTCTAATAAACAGTTCTTATATGTGTGAATAATTAGATTTCCTAATAAGTTAACCCAAATATAAATCATAATCTTAAATTAAATTAATTAAACATTTTAATTTATTATCAATTCAACAATTGATTAACTTATATTTAAAAATTAAGTATAATGTCTAGTAATCTCTCATGATCCCTTAAAATTTTTAAAAAGTTATAAATAGTTTAACTTAATCTTTTAATAACCAGTTTTTCAGTGCAATTATTATCATTTCTTCTAGAATGTTCTAATTTAGATATTATAGCATGAGGTATATTTTTTTTGTTAAATCATTTTAGTTCTCACCATTATAGTAATTGATTATTTAAATAAGATTTTGAAACTCTTTTCAAAATCCATTCCACTTTAGTCAAGGATTTCATTATCAATAATATTTGAGAATAGATAGAATATTTTCTCAAATTTACTTAGGGTGATAAATCTTCTTTTCATTACTCATATACCTTAATATAATTTATGCTTATCCAATATTGATCAGTTTATTACCTTTGATTATGATAACTTGTGGTCATGATCAAAGTATAAAACTTCTTATAAAAGATAACTTAGTAATCTCATGTCTAAGAATTGCTCACACAACAATCATGTAAGTTTTTCTACAGACATAAGTGATTTTTTCTTATGTAATTCTCTTGCAGGTCAGTTTAATATATATGTCATTTGACAAACACTTGCATGGTAGTTCCAAATATTTCTTATACTCTAATTTATGAGAGCAACTATTTTTTTTTATAAAAAAATAAACATAATATGCACGGGTCTTAACTCTAATTAACGTTTAGTCCTCTTAATAAAACATTGACCAGGAACATTTAGAAACAATACTTTGATGAATTAAGAATTACATAATTATAATAATTTCATAATTTTCTATACAAAGCATTATTATTTCATGGACTTTATCTTTACTATAAATTCATTAATCAAACATTAGACTCATTAATAAAAAGGAGATTAATATTAAAGATAAAGAAAGCATTTATTAATAAAAGATATGTTTTATATGGATACACTACCATAATTTTTAGATTTACTAACAAAATTTTCCGTCAGTGAATCTTTCATCGATAATTTTTTCTCATTAATAATAAAAAATATTATTAATAATGGATTTATTAATATAAAATGTGTGTAAAAAACATTATCCGCTTCATTACGTAAGTATTTCCCTCATAAAAATATCATATGTAATTCTGTTGGTAATTATTTAAAAATATTTATAAAAAATCCAATTTACAAAACTATAAATAATTAAATTTATATAAATCAATACTCTATAATACTCAAAACGCTTGGAAAAAAGAAGAAAAAAATCATAAGAAAAAAAATTCTACAATAATATTCATATAATTATTAAGAACAAAAATAATTAAAAATAAATATAGTGAAAAAAAATGAAAAAATAAAAATCTTACCTTAATGTGGTTGCAAATGAAGTTAAGAAGAGAAAAAATTGTAAAGTATATTAATTAAGAAAAATTGAGAAGAAAAAAGAAGAAAGGAGAAGAATATATACTTGAGCATGAAGGAGGAGAGAAGGAGTTGAGGAGAGAAGAGAAAAGAAAGAAATGGATATTGATGTTCTTTGCATATAAGGAAGAAGAAGAAGAAGAAAGGAGCACCGTTTGTTTGTGAAATTAGGGATCCTAGAATTTTTATTAGGGCATTTTATCATCGGATAATTAAATATCAATATTTTTAATCATTCCATTAATGATTTCATCTATAATATTTAATTTAAATTTTTAATTTAATAAAAAAATTTCAGAAACCGTCAAATATCACCAATAATTTTTCAATTTGTTTGTGATTCAGTTTTTAATATTTAATTTAAAATTTTAATTTGATCAAAAATTTTCAAAAAACCACCAACACTTATAACTTTTCAATCCACCTGTAGTTTTATTTGTAAAGAACAATGATTAATAATGCAATTGAAAAGTAAACAATTCTAGAGCTCTTTGAAAAATACTGACTGAATTTTTCATTGGTGATTTTTTTTGTAATTGACATGATGAACGATGTTCATAGTTTACCAATGAAATTTATTCCATTAGTAAAAATGACATGTCATTGTTTTTTTTTTTTGTTTTTTTTCTCCACTGTAATTCCCTTGGTAAATATCAAGAGAATATTTTCATCAATAAAATCCATCGGCATTTTACCAACGAAAATATTTTCTCGGTATTTTCATTTGTATTTATCGATTTTCTAGTAGTGATAAAATTAGTGTTGATCACAAGCTATCTTCACTAACAATCTTCTACTTACACTAAAATCAGTTGCTCATATATCTAATATTATATCCCTCTATATGGTGATTATGCTTTTGTTGGGACACTTCCTTAGTAAGAGGATATGCAAGGTTCTTTTTAATGGGTACTCGCTCTATTTTTATATCTTTTCTCTATATGATTTCTCTAATCAAATAGAATTATCTAAGTACATATTTGGATCTTTGATAAGACCTTCCTTCATTTGCTAGTGTAATGATTTTATTGTTATCATAGTAAAGGGCTACTAAATCAATAATAGTGGGAACCACACCTACTTCAATGATAAATTTTTTGGTCTAAATAACTTTTTTTTTTGCCTCAAAAGCAAAGATGCATTTGACTTCAGTTGTACAATCTATAGTGATTTCTTATTTTAGACTCTTCTAACTCACAACACTACCATTTAGAATAAAAAACATTTCCTAACTGTGATTTATTATCATATGACAATTGGTTAGTGCATTTGATTTTCTTGATGTCAATATTCCATCTACATTATTATTCATTTATCGATGGAAATCCTAACAAATAGCAAATTCTTGATGTAAAAAAAAGTTTTGACTATGTGTTTTTATTGGTAAGTTTGTTGATAATATAAATTATTAATAAAATGATATTTACATTCCCGTTTTCTAATTTTCTTGTAGTGATCTTGGAAGATAACCTAATAAAGATGATAATTTATGTTGTAATGATTTCCCAAATATAATTTGACAGCTTTAAGAATAATACTAGTTGTAAGGATGCACAAAGTGTGGTGTGTGTTTTAATTTGTGAGGGCATCATGAACTACTGACTCCACCATGAGGGCATGGAAGAGAGGCATGTGACCACCGCAAACATTGCTTCCATTAATACAGTAGTAAATTAGTTTTAATCAGAATAAACTAACATCTACAGATTTGGTAAATAGTCTAGTTTTTAGTTTGCTGTTATATACCTCTTTTCCCATTTTAATTTCATTCTCTGGCAAACAAGACAAAATGTTCATTAAAAGAAATAAACTATAGTACTGTAATGAAATAATAATTAATAATTTAACCAATAGTTAGCTATCTGATCCAAAGACAACATAAGCTTAACAACAGATCTATGGATTAGTGTTGCCTAGGATCGTGCATACTGGAGCCCGATCATTTTACTATTAAAACCTAATAATTTCACTAACCCCTTCAATTTTCTCTCTGTATTTCATAGCATCGATTGTAGCTTGATTCCCTTTTTCCTCCATAGCCCAGGCTTTTTGTTTTTTTTTGGGAAATATAACACTAGAATGTTACATGTCAACCCACCCAGCTAACATCAAACCAGTTAGTCCCTTGCACACTGAGAATCAAGCACTGCACCATTAGAAAGATGCATGGGTGCTGGAGTTCAAACTAGCTCGAAATTAATAAAAAATAACTTAAAAGGTCAAACAAAATTATAGTAATAGAACATTGATTAATGATGTCCGATGACGTGCTAAATGAACGAGTCATGAATTGCACGTATTGGTGGCTTTGAAGTTTTTTGCTCGAAGTTCTAAGTCGTGGAAATTCATGCAAGAAGATACCAAGTAATGAGTGGCCAATCGGATCTCAAGTTACGAAAACGATGTGAGAAATCTGTTGAATCTGCCCTTCGCTCTAACATTCTCTGGAAAGGGCTCATCCCCAACCGACCACCGGCGACACCAGATTTCTCACTGAAATTCATGTGCGACTGATAGTAATAATACAAACCGATAGCCTTTCACGTGCTTTTAGTTTATTTGATCCCCTTTAACACCCTCTACATTTTTCATGCTTATACGCATATCTCTTTAAGAAAGGATTCTATGTAAATGAACGAGGAATCAATTTACTACATGTTAATTAATAGTGTTCAAAGTAAAAGGGCTAGGTTGGAGACTTATCATCCAGAGATGCTAAAATGTCAATACAAACTGAAATTGTCGAATGATTACTTATGTTGTCACATGGTGTCAAGAGTTTTTTAAGGAGGATGAATGAAAAAATGGCAGTGATTGTTTTTTTAAAGTTTTTTTTATTTAAAAATATATTAAAATAATATTTTTTATTTTTAAAAAATTATTTTTGATATAGAAAATTAAAATAATCTAAAAATATAAAAATATTTATTTTATATTATTTAAAAAATTATACTCGATTCAATACAAACAGGGAATAAACAACACATAAATTTGAGTTTCTTTAGCCCATTCTACTCCAGTTACACAAATTATGAATATATAATGAGTTCAAAAGAGAGAAACAACAACCATCATAACAAGTGAATTAACAAGCACTGAATTCTCTGATCGTTTGCTTTTACACTCTTCTTCTTCTTCTTCTTCTTCTTTTGAAGAGGTCATTCTTTCCTCATTTAGTAATTAAGAATAATATATCAATTTTAATAAGCAAGTCAAGGCAAGAACATATGGTACTTCCTCTCCTTCTATGGAAGAGAAGAAGAAGCTCAGGCTCGATTTTTATCTTGCTCTCTAGAGAAGTAATAAAAAGAGAAGAGATATTACCTGAATTATGGAAAAATTGAGTTTCCAAAGAGTTTTGGCAGATAAAAGGCAAACTCCAACAAAACATAACTAAAGAGATTTAGGGGGAAAAGGAAGTTAGGGAAAATTAGCCCCTACCAAATTAAGAAAAAATTAACGAGATTCATTAACGAACTTCGCCGCTAAAACTCTCAAGACCCCACCTGATCATAAACTGCCCCTACTGCTAGATCATCTGCCTAAAATCGGGTCCCACATGTTGGTGACTCAAGTAATCATCACCGCCGTTTGATACACCAAACACCATATTCTGATGGTGATGAAGGAATTGCTGGTGCTGGTGTTGCTGTTGAGCTCTTACCATCTCCTTTTGTCGCCTGAGCTCCAGCACCTTACGGTGCGAATTTGAGTGCTTAGTGAGCACAAATGTTGGGCTAGCTGCAGGCCTATACTCAGGCACAAGCCGGCCCGACTTGTACCTTACACCACACGCATTGCACAGCGTCTTTGGCCCCATGGGTCCAGTCCGCCACTGCGGCGTCTTATCCGTGGCACAATGCAGGCACTTGCGACCATCGCAACCTTCAACACCACCATCTCTTTTCTTCTGCCGCGCCTCAACCTTAATTGTCTTTTTCCCAGAATTCGGATGTGGGGTCGGCCCAGCAATAATTTCAGTATCGGAGGATGAAGTCGTGGGAGAGAGCACAAGAAGGCGTGAGGCCCAATTGCACGGCGCTGCCCGAGACCGTTTGCTCCGAGCCTTAGCGGGGACAGCCGTTTCAGGATTGAACGTTGTGTTGTTAATGTTACTAATATTGGAGACATCGCCATTGTTATTGTCATCAGTGTCTCCATGAGTTTGGAAGTGTCGACTCTTGGATGATTCGTCTGGCGGAGCTTTCATGCCGGATATTAGCTGAAGCCTTTGCAAGTCTTCGCTGGAGAATGATTCCTCCACAAAATTCGACAGCCATTCTAGCTCCGCTAAATCATCATACTGTACATAACAACAGAAACCATAATTAGCAAATTGACGTGTTTCTTTAATCTTTCCCTCTTCAAACAGATAAAACAAAAGGGAAAGAAAAAAGGGGTGTCAATGTCATGCATGGAAGTAAGGAATTACGGGCACGCAAAGCTCGCTGCCTAAGTGAACGTCATGATGAGAGAAATTATTGGTGTAGTGGGACCCAATATCGCCGTTAAAGCTAGAAGGCTCACGGCCCGAGAAAGAGGAGGAATTGCAGCTATCAACGACAGTTACGGTGGAAGAGTCCGTGGAGTTGGTGGTGGCAGTGACGAAAGTATTATTATTGTTTGGGTCAGTTATCATGGCATCATCATCTTCATTAGAGAAGTCCAGAAGGTCTTCAACAATGAAATGGTCACCACCACCAATGGACTTATTATTAGAGTCCAAAGAGTGCTGCTTTTCATTACTTGTGAATTGTGAGCTGAAAAACCCGGATGCCCCATAGAATTCTGGTGCTTCCATAGTTTATTTTGTTGATTTAAGGAAGAAGAAGGTCAAGAATTAAGGTTAAGAGAGTGATGTAGTTGTGCAAGGGAAATGGAAATGGGGAAATGGAAATGGAAATGGAAATGGAAATGTTAATTTGTGTGTGCAGAAGAAGAGAGGGAGGGGGAGGGGGAGAGAGCTGCTGCTGCTGCTGCTGAGGTGGTGGCTTTTTAGGAGAGAGAGAGAAAGGGAGGGTTTATCTGCGCTTGAAGGGGACAGGCGGCAGCTAAAATGGAGGAGGATGTTGACGAGGAAAAAATCAAAGAGCTTGGGAGGAGAGAAAAAAGTGAAAAATAAGTGGTAATGAAAAAATATATATATATAATTAATTAAAGATGCTTTAATTGAGCTAAAGAAAAATCTTCTATGAAGTTACTTTTGTGTCCCTTTGCTTTTAGAAACTTTCATGTTTCTAATTGACGACTTGTCTCCCTTTGTTTTTTAAATACTATTGAAGATTTTCCATTTGGGAGTTCTCATTTGTATGTCTATCGTGCTTTACAAAACGACTAAAAGTTTACAATTTATCGCTATTAATTTTATCAAATTTATGTTACCTATATATACACGTGATTTTACTACAATATTTATTATGTTTAATTGTTAGACGTATTTACTGCTGTTAATTTTTTTAATTAAAAATTTTTACATGTCCAATTATATAAAAATTAATTAAGTATAACCAGCTGAATTCCAGACCACATCCAAACTAAATCAAAAATTAATATTTTTATTGTCTTTATTGTATTTATAGTTAATTTTAAATTTTAATAATTTTTTACTTAGTTCTAAATTCTTCCTCTTAAGTCGGTCTTTATATTTATATAAAATAATTGGTAAATAAACTTTAAAGAAAAATATTAAAATATTTTTATAAAAATTTATATAATTTAGGGTGTAAAAACTTTAAGAATTATAATTTTTATCCACGAGTTAATTTTTTAAATAAAAAATAATTATCCAACTAACAATAAGAGGAAGATTTAGGTTACTACTAATTTGGTGGAGCAAGTACTGTAAATTAACCATATCCTTAAAACCTAATATTTTAGGGTTACTATTTGATTTGGGGGACCAATACTGTAAATTCATGAGCTAAATGAGAGTAAAGAGTCAATCTCAGTAATGGCATGGCCCACATACAGAGATCGATCAGACGTGCATGGAATGATGCGGTGATGATCAAATAGTTGTACACAGTAAGCAATAATCACAAGCCACACTGCATAAAATCATCATGTACTGCTGAATTACTGACATGGCACCATCTACAATCATGTCAAACACTTAAAAAGGGTGCACTGTAAAGTAATCAAATGCTTTTAAGACGACATGCAGGCTAATATAAGTACTTAACAATTTAAATAATTACAATTAAATTTAGTGACTATTTATTTTTAAAATATTTTTTTTGAAATATAGAAAATAATATTTTTATTTTAAAAAATTGATTTTTAATATTAATCTGTCTAACATATAAAAAAATAAAAAAAAATAAAATTTTTTACATATTGGCTGTTATGGTGTTGAAATTCAACTCCTCAGGGAACCAATCAGCAGGTTTATCGCTGAAGCTTGAGCATTAGCGTCCAAGTTTACAGCCCGGCTCCTCTGCTTTTAATTTTTTTTCCCTCGGGAATCGTCCCACCCCTTTTTTTTTCTCTTTTCTTCTCTGATATTTACTTTATTTTAATTTGTTTTTAATTATTATTAAATATTATCATTATCTACCCTGCTAGTTCAGTTTTTTAATTCAAATCCCATTTGGAAGCACGATGGTTACAGCTCACCTTGATCAAGATGGACGGTCGTGAAGCTTCCAACGTGTATCCCTCTCTATCTTGACAAGTAGGATTACGAACGAGTCTACAGATAATATACTTGGCTTGCATTAACATCGTATTTTGTTTTTCACTTGTTGATAATGTCTGAGTAATTTTTCTTCCTTCTATTCTTCAGCTGTTTAAATTATTTTTCTTCTATTTATGAATATAAATCTCTTTAAAATAAATATAGTGAATTTTTATTTTATTTTATATCTTCTTATTCTTTTTAATATGTAAATTGGAAGTTCTCTTAATATCCAATTTAAAAATAATATGTAAGCGCGGGCACTTAAGGATTAAAAACTTAAAGATTTAGTCCAGTCATACATAAATCAATCCAAATATCCCAAAAAAATATAACTTAATCAAAATATATTATTTTTCAAATCTTTAATTGCTCCATATTTAGGGTATTCCAGGTAGGGAGGAGATAAAAAGCATTTTTAAAAACATGTTTGTCATTATATTTTAATTTTTTAAAAATTAAATTTTTGTTTAAATTAATATATTTTTGATTTTTTTAAATAATTTTGATATACTAATCTTAAAAATAATTTTTTAAAAATAAAAAAATATTATTAATATATTTTTTAAATAAAAAATACTTTAAAAAATAATTATAATTATATTTTTAAACACGCACTTTAAATAAAAGTTTTTTTAATGACCACATGCATTCATTTGGACTTTTGAAATATTACTCAGTGTAAATATCAACTCTCCTAATACCTCACTTTTGTAGGATTTATTTCACATTAATGTGAGACCGACTACTAAGTGCTATAATAATATCAACTCTCCTAGAACTTCCAGCTATCACTAGAGTATTTCCCCGCGCTAATTTGCGGCTTGGACAAAAAAGAAATTAACATAAAAAATGATATCTAGGTCAGCAAAACGTTTTGTTATTGTAATTAAACGTAGCACGACGAGTTAAACTTGAAGAATCTGGGGTTACAAATTATATTGACTTGACAAGTTGAAGAGAGGAAAAACAATTCAAGTTAATTTATTTTAATAAACTTATTAAACATGCAATTTAATTGACGAGCTTTACTAAATTCAATTAATTTTTATTTTATTTTATTATATAATAAAAAAAATATAAAAATTTATTTTACAATCTTTTTTGTTCTTACCCGAATATATATCCTCACACCCTTTTAAATAAAGAAACTAGTTTTAACAGGTTTGCAATTGTCTTTCCCAATAAATATGCTTCTTGAGATTAAATTTCTGAATCTAAAACATATTATAGAATAAAATAAAAATTAATAAAAATATAATATTAAATAATAAAATAATAAAATAAAACAAAAAATGAGTTAGAAAAGACTTCACGTTCTCGTGCTTGAACTGACTAATGAGTATAGGACTTTAAAAAAAAAAAATTCGCGTGTTTGCTTAAGATAATCCCACACACCTAGGCTAGTTATTTTCTCCTATTTTAGAGGGGATTCATCCTTTATTTTTTCCAAAGAAAAAAATAATGTATGGTTTATTGTGATGAATAATACGTAAGTTAGGATTTAAAAATAAATTGCATTTAATATATATATATATATATATTGATGAGATATGAATTTTTAGATACAAAATAAATAAATAGTAAATTTTTATTAAAAAATTTAACTTATACAAAATAAAAAATTTAACTTATAAAAAATAAAAATTTAAAAACTAATTACATTTATTTCTTGCTATAGAACATCGAAATTATTTAACAAATCAAATGTTTTTTTTTTCCTATTAGGGAGTGGGTCCCTTGTGATTATGTGACACCAATCCCTATATGGGCTGCTTCTAACTATGGATAAGGTGGTGGTTCTGCTATTTATTGCAACGGAGAATGACATATTTTTATTTTTATTTTGTTTTTACCTTTTATGCTTGGATTAAAAGGAAAGCCTGGAAAAGAGAGAGTACCTGGGCCGTTGCTTGGCGTGGAGGGTTTCATGTTCCAGAGATTTTCCTTTTCTCCTTTTTTATTAAAAAATTTAACTTATACAAAATAAAAATTTTAAACTAATTACATTTAATTCCTGCTACAGAGCATTGAAATTATTTAACAAATCAAATGATTTTTTTTTTCTATTAGTAAGTGGGTCCCTTGTGATTATGTGACACCAATCCCTATATGGGCTGCTTCTAACTATGGATAAGGTGGTGGTTCTGCTATTTATTGCAACGGACTTATTTTTATTTTTATTTTTATTTTGTTTTTACCTTTTATGCTTGGATTAAAAGGAAAGCCTGGAAAAGAGAGAGTACCTGGGCCGTTGCTTGGCGTGGAGGGTTTCATGTTCCAGAGATTTTCCTTTTCTCCTTTTCTTAGATCTTTATTTTTAAAAAAAATAAAATAAAAAGATCGGTGAAGTATATTTATATATTAATTATTTATCTCAAGGTTTGGGTCCAATATGCACGTGATAGAGGAAGAGGGAGGTGTCAGGGAACCATGTGAGTGCTTGGCTCGTGTCAAAAGCCAAAACTGACGGTGGTCAATGGCACGTGTCGGTCATCAAGAGCATCTCCTCTTTATGTTGATGGATGCTTCGAGCATGGCCATGCACAGGTCTCTTCTTATAGTTTTACTATAACGTGATTGCACATGCCGCCCCGTCACGTGAGTTGTGGGTAATACACGTGTGTTGCGTCCCTCTTGTGACATGTCACGTGGGAAGAGTGGGTCTTTGAAATTTGGATTGATCCAGTGGGAGAATTCAAGGATGCTCAATTATTTGAAAAATAAAATTACCTACAATTCTGTTCTTCAAAGATAATATATATATATATATATATTGATCCTTCAAAATTCGAAGAGTAATAATTACACTGTAAACTTTTTACATAATATAAATGAAGATATTTTTAATTTTTATTTATTTCTGACAAATAAGCCTTGAACAATTTTCATTTGTATCTTTTTCGTTAAAAAAAAAATTTTATTTCATAAAAAATAATTAACAAATATATCTTATCTATTATTTAAATTTTTTATTAAATGGAGAACTTTAACTATTATTCACGGTGCACATGTATTCTTGCCAACCCTACTTCTACTTTATTTTTATTTGTTTATACTTCCTCTTGACCTCTCCCTTGACGTTCTCCATAAGCCAGCCATGAACGAGTCCTCGCACAAGGGCAAGAGCTTTAGAACCAAAAAAGGGTTCTTCGGTCAAGTTCTGTTGAAATGGGTCCGGGGCTGCCCGACAGGCTTCTATTTCAAGC